ACAGACTACTGTCAACACTGTCTGTCTGTAGGTCTGTATGTAGGTCTGTCTGTAGGTCTGTCTGTAGGTCTGTCTGTAGGACTGTCTGTCTGTCTGTAGGTCTGTCTGTAGGTCTGTCTGTCTGTCTGTATGTCTGTCTGTAGGTCTGTCTGTAGGTCTGTCTATAGGTCTGTCTGTAGGTCTGTCTGTCTGTAGGACTGTCTGTCTGTCTGTAGGTCTGTCTGTAGGTCTGTCTGTAGGTCTGTCTGTAGGACTGTCTGTCTGTCTGTAGGTCTATCTATAGGTCTGTCTATAGGTCTGTCTGTAGGTCTGTCTGTAGGACTGTCTGTCTGTAGGCCTGTCTGTAGGACTGTCTGTCTGTAGGTCTGTCTGTCTGTAGGTCTGTCTGTAGGTCTGTAGGACTGTCTGTCTGTCTGTAGGTCTGTCTGTAGGACTGTCTGTCTGTAGGTCTGTATGTAGGACTGTCTGTCTGTAGGACTGTCTGTCTGTAGGTCTGTCTGTAGGACTGTCTGTCTGTCTGTAGGACTGTCTGTCTGTCTGTAGGTCTGTCTGTAGGACTGTCTGTCTGTAGGTCTGTATGTAGGTCTGTCTGTCTGTAGGTCTGTATGTAGGTCTGTCTGTAGGACTGTCTGTCTGTAGGTCTGTCTGTAGGTCTGTCTGTCTGTAGGTCTGTATGTAGGTCTGTAGGTCTGTCTGTCTGTAGGTCTGTCTGTAGGACTGTCTGTCTGTCTGTAGGTCTGTATGTAGGTCTGTCTGTATGTAGGTCTGTCTGTAGGTCTGTAGGTCTGTCTGTGGGTCTGTAATTTGAGTGATCCTGCCTCAAACTTGCTCCCTAACATATTGATTGATTGATTGATTGATTGATTGTCTCCAGAGGAATCCTGATAATTTGATGATCTGAATGTAACTTTATATTTCAGTGAACTCGTCATCACATTGTCAGAAGGAGTCACGTTATATTTCTCACTTCTTCTTCTCTTCCTCTCATTCTTAGCGGCCGCCGTCCGTCCCGACCGGCGAGGCATTTCGTTGGTTCTTCTAGCCTTTTCTCCACCGACAGAGTCGCAGCTAGACCATCACATATGGACTACAAATCAGGCTCGGATACATAAAAATAAAAAGGGACTACAACTTCTGGAACTGAACCAGAAGCTTTGCAACAGGATTACAATTTCATACTGTGTGGATGACAGTTTAGGACTACAAATCCCACCTCAACTGGAGCAGGGAACCAGCTGGGAGGACAGAGACAGAGGAGGCGGTTTGGTCACAGGACACGGGGACTGTTCGGGGCGATGATGCCACAACTGCGTGTTTTCTTGAACTTTCTTGAAGGTAAATTTCGGCTCTTAAACAGACGCAGCAAGCTACAAACAAATGTCAGCATCACAGTAGCAACAAGCGGCTAAATGAGACGACAGACGACATTAAAGCCTTTACAGCCTCGTTGTGTTCAGACTCTCGCAAACTATTCCAACTCAAACTCTACAACTTGTAGATTTTAATTACAAGTTGGAGGTTTAGTGGTGTTGACGGCCGCGGTTTTGTCTGTGGCGTCAGAAGTTTTATGGACTGGTCGTCGCTTCACTTGGTACCAAAGATCGGCCGTTCTGTTTAGTAGAGCTCAGATTTGGGAAAGAAGGTTTGGTGCTTGGTGAGCTTGGTCCTTTGTCATGTGACTGTATTGGTAAAGGCGAGGGCATATTGGTGTCATCGAGCCCCAGTAGTGCAGCTTATGTAGCGTTGGTAGATCTCTACCAGATTCTTCTAGTCATAAAGACCCAATAACAGGAAAATGTGCCAAAGCTTTGCAACAGAACATGCGAATGTAAAACAGCTTCACTGTTTGGGAATCAGTAGCCAGTCCCGAAACGCTTCACTCAACTGGTGTACAGAGTTGTAACTATGGCTGCACAATTAATCAGAACATTACAGAAATCACAATACGACCAATATCCAAATTACAGAGGCTGCGTTGTTTCAAGGTAAAATGTGACAACGGATAAGGGGGGGGGGAATATATGTTTATAAAAAAATCTCTTTTTTTTTTTAAAGGGGGAAAAAAATCAAAAATAAATATAAAAATTATTTTAAAAAAAAAAAAAAAACCCCCAAACAAACCCCCCCCCACCCAAAAAAAAACCAAAACCCCCCCCCACAACACCAGAAAAAAAGAAAAAAACAAAAAACGCCGCCCTAGGACAACAAAAAAACACAAAACCTCCCCCCCCCCCCCCCCCCCCCCAACAAAAAAAAACCGAAAGGAGGGAAAAAAAAAAAAAAAAAAAACCCCCCCCCCCACCCCCCCCAACCAAACAATATTTAAAGCAAAGACGGGGCGGGGGGGGGCCTTTGGGCCTCCAGCCCCCGGGACCCGCAAAAAAAAAAAAAAAAAAAGGATGGAAAGTTTTTTTTTTTTTTGTTAACCCCCCAAAAACTAAAAAATTAAAAACTTTTTTATTTTAAAAATACCCCCGCTCACCCAAAAATTATTTTTTGATCTCTTAGCCATAAAAACCTTTTGTGGAAAAAAAACCAAACCCAAAAAATAAAAAAAAATTTTAAAAATATTTAATAAAAAAAATTAAAACAAAAAAAAAAAAAAAATTTAAAAAATTTTTTTTAGACGGCATTATAATGAAGTTCTGTAGAGATCATCGTGTTTTTAAATGTTTTCTTAACAAAGATTACTTTGGTGACGCAAAAATGATTCCAGCTAATCGTGAATCATATCGCAATATCCGTCAAAATAATCACAATATGATGTTTTTACCATATCGTGCAGCCCGGTATTAAAGAACTCATCGGGGCCGGAAACAATTGATCGGGACATCCCTAGTTAAAGCTGGGAAGCTCAGATTGATTTCCTGTAGCACTTAACGGAAGTGCGTGTCCTGTCAGCAGAAGCCCATCGTTCACGCTGCTAAAACCCAAATTTAATGAATATAGTGTCGATGCACAGTGTTTGTACCCCCCCAAGCCCCGCCCCTTTTGGAACCTCCTCCTTTCCTGTAATTAGATATGCTACATGCTAGGCTAATCTATGTTGAACAGACAACCAGCTAGCTAATCTACATCAATCGTTAAGTTAGCTAATGTTTTGCTGACGTTAGCTATCAGATATAACTAGCTGGCTAAAGAAAAACTTCAGATGTGACTTAATGTCTCTTTTATCTTTGAACCATCTTCAAAATGTGGTTGTCTTTTAAACATAGCCTAGCTTAGCATATCTAAGTACAGGAAAGGAGGAAGTTGACTGAGGTTTGCAGAGTGAAAAGGGGCGGGGCTTAGGATGAATGCTCCAAAGTAAACATAAGAATCCACCATTGATCCCATCTGACATACTTTCACCACCTGTGATCAAACTGTCTCCTCCTCTTCCTCCTCTTCCTCCTTTGCAACCTGCAAACCCGATCATTGCCAAACCGGGAAGATTCAGGCCTCAAGTGGACCGCTGCTGTCACCACAGACACAATGACAGTTTGACCAAAACCGGACGACAAGTTTAACCTCAAAGGAAAGACTTTACCACAGAGGGAGTACAAACTGACCTCAGCAGGAAGTGATCCAGGACTGTTATTAAGGACTACAACTTCACCACAGTAGGACTACAATTACCACATCACTGTTATCTGTCTCTTCTGTCTACCTCCTCCTCAAGAACTTAAAAGGCACCTTGATTGATTTTTACTGGGCTGTGTTAATGCTGGAACGACACGATCTGCTTCTCAACTCTCTCGATGGTCCAGAGCTTCTCGTGGAATCTGGTGTTTAGATTTAGTTATTTACTCATTTAAATCAGTTAAATGTCAGTTTTATTTGTCTGGATTTCAATGGAAAGTTCTCAGGGCGCAGTCGTACTTCCAGTTGGTTTTATATGAACTAAAGCAGACAGGAAAAACTCACTTTGTTGTATTTTTGTATTTGTGTAAAAGGTGGCAGTGGATGGTTTGTTATTTCACTCTGAACATTGGCTCTAAATTCACAGTCCCAAATCCTCACCAGGACCTCAAAGAGAGTTCAGAACCAGTTTCTCTGTTCTTGTATCAATGCAGATCGTAACCACGCGGTGACCGACGGGAAACTGAACGGGAGAATCCGCCTGCAGTTTGAATGCAGGGCGGGAACTCACAGGGAACCTTTGGATCTTCTGGGACTAAAAGGAACCGAACTGAACTGAAAGACATCAAATCAGAACATTTCACACAAACATTTCCAACATGTCTGTGAGAGAAAACGGGAAAACACAACAATTCTTCCACAACAAAACGACGGCCGACGTGAATGCGCAACCTTTTCTTCAGATTTGTTTGTTCCCAGTCTTGTTTTTAATATATTGATGAATGTTGAGTAATCTGGCGCTCTGGTTGGTCAGACTCTTTGACGTCTGGAGAAAGTCAAGAATGCTAGTCGCTGCAGGGCAACATGACATCATTAAAACCGTCTGAAGACTTCATCAACAGAACCACAGACAGTTGGCTGAACAGAGCCGTCTGTGTGGTAAGGGGTTGTCAAAGCTGATCAAATGTCTAGTTGGTTTTAAAGGTCCAGTGTGGAGGATTTAGTGGCATCTAGTGGTGACGTTGCAGATTGAAACCATCTGAATACAGAGGAACTAAAACGACCCAATCTACAGCCAGTGTTTGTCTGTTCTGGGCTACTGTACAAACATGGCGGTTCAATATGGCGGACTTTGTAGAAGAGGACCCGCTCCCTCTGTAGATAAAAACATCTCGTTCTAAAGAAAACAATTATTATTTTCAGGTGATAATACTCTATGAACATTTCTGACAATAGATCCTCCTCAATGTGACACACTGGACCTTTAAAAGATCTATTCAGACTTTCTCCAGATTTCTATTAGCTGGAACCAGACGTATTGATTAGAGTTGTTCCGATACCTGTATCAGAAATTCCTCTGATAAAGCCTAAAATCAGGTATTGCAAGTACTCGTGTCTGTGCACTGATCTGATACCACGTAATGTATTCGCCTCCAGCAGGGTCCTGTTTACCTACCCGAACATTAGCTGGGAAACAACGATAGCAATCATACAGGCTTAATATTAAACGCTATATATTTATATTTTAACGCACATGATGATGATGATGATGATGATACCAGATCGGTACTCGGTATCGGCCGATATGCAAAGTTCAGGTAACCAATCAGTGTTGAGAAGGAAACAAATGGTATCTCTCATAGTGAGTTTACATTACGCCCCCTACAGTGACGTGTAGTTGGTCCATCCTCAGACCTTGTTCTGAAAAGTTTCTACTGGGAAGAAATAGTCCCAGTGCAAACTGCTGACACTGCTGGTGTGGTTACCCAGTAACCAGGAGTGTCTGCGAGGGTGGACGCTGGTCGGAGGAAACTCCGTTAATCTCTTTGTGTTTGAGCGTGGAAACCTCAGAAAATCAAACTGAAAGTGAAACAGCTTCCATGAAATGTAGTGTTCCCACTTTAAGGTAATTAACATTCCTCCTCTGATTATTCATCTAGCGCCACCAGCTGGTCTTCAGTCTTCAGTGCAGAGGAAGACCCTCAGACTGCCACAGACACCGATGTTACCCACAGAACCAATCCTAACCAACGCTCTGATCCACTCAGTCAGCGCCACCATTGTGTCAAAGTGTCTGCACTCACAGACATGTTGGGAATATTTATTTATTTATTTAGATTTATTGTTTGTATCATGAGGAAAGCGTTCCCCTGCCTCTCTGTGGGAACTGAACCCAAACGTCCTCTTTCTTCCACAAACACTGAAAGGAAGGAGACGTTTGGGTTCTAACGTCGTCCGTCCTCCTTCCTCCTCATGTATTCTGTCTCTGTGACCTCCTCATGTGCTGAATTGTAATAAAGCATTTCAAAGATTAGCTGTGTGAGACACACACACACACATATACACACACACACACACACACACACACACACACAGGAGGATGTCAGGTGATTGCATCATGTGTGTGTGTGTGAGTGAGAGAGCAGCCATGAAAATGAACAATATGTTTTTGTGTTTGTGTGAAAATGTTCTGCCACAAGATGGAAGCCGTGTGTGTGTGTGTGTGTGTGTGTGTGTGTGTGTGTGTGTGTGTGGGCTTGTCATCTCAGTAATGGTGTTGCTATCAGAGAGAGAAAGACAGAGAGGCTGGTTGTCCCTGACGACGGTGCGCCGTGTTGCCTGGCAACAGCGATAACAATGGCCCACCCCCAGTGTTCTAGAATGTGGGCGTGGCCTGAGGAAGAGCGAGGGGGGGGGGTCTTTAATTGTGACACAAACAGCTGTGACGTTAAAATTGTTGATATTTATCATAAATCTGCAAATAAAGACGACAAAAAAACAAACAAATAAGCAAACAACAACAACAACAACAGATCCTTTATGGAAGCAGTTTCCTAATAATTTATATATTACTAATTATACTGAACATTAAGAAAATAAAAGCAGCGTTGAATTAGTGAACTTTGAATTAATTATGAATATGAATTCACATTAAATTGACTTATGCAGGACAAGAGCTTTCCAAACAATAAACACATTATGAACTTTATACTACACTATACTATAATATATATATATATAACAGCTTTATACCACATTAACATACAGTGTCTGTGAAGGAGAGACTCGTAGGTTCACATACAACCATTTTCATTCAGGTATCTTGAGGTCAGAGGTTAATAATAATAATAATAATAATAATAACCAGTTTTTCCTTCGCCAAAATTTAGCCTAAAGAGGAAATTATACCGGGTACGGCTTAATCACATCGCATCCCACAGAGAGCATTTCAGAGGCAGAGCGTCCTCAGAGCTTCCTTAGAGTGTCTTCAGAGCGTCTTCAGGTCGTCCTCAGGTCGTCTTCAGGTCGTCTTCAGGTCGTCTTCAGGTCGTTTTCAGAGCGTCTTCAGAGCGTCTTCAGGTCATCCTCAGGTCGTCTTCAGAGCGTCTTCAGGTCGTCTTCAGGTCGTCTTCAGAGCGTCCTCAGGTCGTCTTCAGAGCGTCTTCAGGTCGTCTTCAGAGCATCTTCAGAGCGTCTTCAGGTCGTCTTCAGAGCGTCTTCAGGTCGTCTTCAGAGCGTCCTCAGGTCGTCTTCAGAGCGTCTTCAGGTCGTCTTCAGAGCATCTTCAGAGCGTCTTCAGGTCGTCTTCAGAGCGTCTTCAGGTCGTCTTCAGAGCGTCTTCAGGTCGTCTTCAGGTCGTCCTCAGGTCGTCTTCAGGTCGTCCTCAGAGCGTCTTCAGGTCGTCTTCAGAGCGTCTTCAGGTCGTCTTCAGGTCGTCCTCAGAGCGTCTTCAGAGCGTCTTCAGGTCGTCTTCAGAGCGTCTTCAGAGCGTCTTCAGAGCGTCTTCAGGTCGTCCTCAGAGCGTCTTCAGGTCGTCCTCAGAGCGTCTTCAGGTCGTCCTCAGAGCGTCTTCAGGTCGTCCTCAGGTCGTCTTCAGAGCGTCTTCAGGTCGTCTTCAGAGCAACTTCAGAGCGTCTTCAGGTCGTCCTCAGAGCGTCTTCAGGTCGTCCTCAGAGCGTCTTCAGGTCGTCTTCAGAGCGTCTTCAGGTCGTCTTCAGAGCGTCTTCAGAGCGCCTTTAGAGCGTCTTCCTGCCCGTCGTTGTTTATTTGCGTATTTTGTCTTTAAAAAGGAAACAAACGATGAGTTTCTCTGCTTTAACCTCCTCTGACTGAATGAAGTGAAATCTGAGTCTGAACGTGGGATTTTATTTTGAAACTTTACCGGATTCTCACTGTGGTTTCTGCGTCTGACTTCCTGTCAGTGTGATTTGCTCTCTGTTGCTTAATACCGACAATAAATAGAATATGCTACGTGGAGCAGAGAGATGTTTCTGATTGGGCGGCGATGGCGGAGGTGGAGTACCGATGGATGCATCATGTGTTCTAGTTCCTTATGAGGATCTTCACTCTAGCTAGTGTCACCCCGGGACCCCCTTCTGGGTCAAACAATAACAGAGGATGACGAGGAGGTGAAGCTGCTGTCTGTACTGTCTGAGTGGAAGCAGACTATAACACTGATCTGTGGTCAGTAAACATCTAACAGATCTCACACATCGTAGATCCAAAGGATCCATCGAGCTCATGTACAGCCTCACTTTGTACTTCTCAGTTTCCTCTTCCTCCTCCTCCTCCCTCCTCCTCTTCCTCATTACTTTCTTTGACTGCGGTCAGGACTTGGTACCGATCTACCACAGTGTGTTTAACAGCCATTTAATCGAACACAGATAGTCTTAATTAGTGTGGGAGAGTCTCTGTCTGTCTGTCTCTCTCTCGCTCTCGGATGGAGGGAGGAGAGAAGTGAAGGCTCCATCTGGTGGTGAGAAACAGAAACTGCACTTAAATCCTAAATGTTGAATTAATGAATGAATTAATCATTTATAGATAATATAATTGATATAAAGTGTTTCCATTAGTAAGCTAAATGACTAACTGATCTGTAAACAGCGATGGGACACACAAAATGTAATATATATTTAACTTTAATTATAAAGGCTTAAACTTAAGGATTCCTAAAGGCTAATAAATCATCTATTAATGTTTTATACATCAGCTAATTGATTTCCCAACTTTATTATTATTTATATTTGGTAACAATGCACTTTATAAATATTGGTTATTGTGAGCTTTACTTTCTAATAATCCATAAAGTTTAAAGTTAGAAATGATTGATGATAAATGATTATAATTATTCACACACAGAATTAATGTTAATGATTATAAAGTCATAATAAAGAAAGACTGAAGTTCATCAAAACACTTTCTGACCAAACCTTTATTCAGGAATCTTTTACACACACACACGCACACACACGCACACACGCACACACACACACACACACACACACAGTGTTTACTTCCTGAACTCCCGACAGGAAATAGTGGCGTTCCCTCGTCTTTAATCATATTTATAATCGCTTTGATTTGAACTTCACAGCGACGTTCTCGTCCAACGTCTGACCCACAAACAGGAAGTTAACGTTCCCCGACTCTGCATCGACGGGGCTGGGACCAATCAATGTATCAATAATCATTAGAATTACCATGAAAACAAACAAATAAAAACAACTTTCCAGTTAAATGTTCACCCGTAAATAAATGTAAACCTAATTTTAACCATTTCATTCTTTACTGTTCCGTCTGTAACAAACAGAAAATGGATCAATTTGTGCCAATTAAAATAATTAAAAATATAAACAAAACTAACAATAATCAATCAGCACCGATATATTGATTAGTCGTCTCAGCCCCAAAAAACATCTGTAAATAATGATTTGAGCTCCGACTCTCAGACAGCGTAATGGCCACAGAAAGACAACTTATAAACAAATTAAACAACAATCAGCAGTTTCTTATATTTTATCCATTAAGTCCTCAAAACTTTTAAGTATCTTGTGTCCATGTGTGTGTGTGTGTGTGTGTGTGTGTGTGTGTGTGTGTGTGTGTGTGTCCTACGTGGCAGAGTGTGTGTGTGTGTTCCAGACGCCGCCGGCCGAGCGTTCGTCAGCCGGCGCCTGAGACTCTGAACGGGCGTCGATGGAGGCGTTTGACTTCCACCGGTTCTCAACGGGCCGCGGGGAAGACGTGATGTGATTGTCTGCGGGGGGGCGAGAGTCAACGGGGGGGTTGTGTTTGGAACAGGGGTCGATGGGGAACTGTGGGTCGGAGCTGGGACCGATGTGGTTGTGAGCTCGGGTTGGAGAGGACGATAAGGCTGTGTGGTTGAAGTGTTCGGGTGGCACAGGATGCACATCGACGGGTGGAAGGTGACCGCGAGGCGCTCTCTCCTCGTGGTTGACTAACGATGGTTTGTTTTCTGTCCGTCGCTCTGAAGAATGGAAGTCAACAGGTGATTTGGGACATCGAGGATGTTGGTCAGCGGTCGAGGGCGAGCGGCCAGCAGCCGCTGTTGGCACTGAGGAGTGGGGGTCAAAGGACGAGGAGGGATTCTGAGTTCTAGCGTCAGAGGATGAAACAGAAACAGGAGACGTGTTGTTACAGTGAGCTCCTGAGAGAACATCACTTCCTGCCGGCGTGCCTTCAGTAGGATGGAGGTCAGTGGAGCTGAGAGTCCGAGAATTCCTGCAACCACTGGAGGTAGAGTCGGAATGATGGAAACCAACGGGAGATAAAGAGTTCACAGGATGGGAGTGGATGGGTGAAGAACTGGTTCCAGTGGAGTCGACCGTTGTGCTCTCACGGCTGGAATGTGACTTATGAGAATGAAGGGAGTTAAAGTTCAGACGTGGGAAGAAGTCGGCACTGTTTGTAAAAGAATGGGGGTCAATGGGAGGTTTGTGATTCGTGGAATGGATGCCGAACGCTCCGACCTTCGAGGGAACGGAGTCTGTGGTACAGGTCGGCTCTCCTCGCAGCGCCAACGCACTCGTGAAGTTTCTCTTCAGCGTGGAAATGGACGGGATGGCCTGGTGGTCTCTCTGCAGCTCGGCACCCAAACGGGAATCAACGGGGGGGGTTAAAGCACCCGGGTCGGCGTCGGCGGGGGTGTGGGGTGAGCGCAGGTCAACGGGAGAGACGGGTAACAGGTGGGGACTCCCGGCATCTTTGTGTTTTAATGGCGGCGGTGTGTTTCTGTTGTAAGACCTGACGGGACTCGCCTGTTTCAGGAGCGGAGGGACGTCTTTACCCTCCTTCAGCCACCCGAGGGGGGGCAGCGGGGGGACGGAGGGACGGAGAGTCTGCATGTCAAAGCCCAGATTCTGGTCTCTGCTGTTAGACCGGTGCTCCTCGGGTAAACTGGGATGTCTCGTCTCAGTTGACCAGCCGTCCCGGTCCGAATGAGCCCGACTGACCTCGCACTGATCCCTGAAACGCCTCCTGGTGGGCGCAGCGATTCCCTTTAGGTCGTTGAGGATCGCTGCGAGCAGACAACTGTCAGAGGTTGCGACCTCGGAGCCTCCTCTATGAACCAGATCCATCGCTGTGGTACCGACTTCGTTCAGAACCACAGAACCTTCAGTGGTTGTATCAGCCTCTCTCGCCACTCCTCTATCGTCTCCTGACTCCAGCAGTACGCCGCTCTCCTCAACGCTCTCCACGTCCACGTCCTGATCACTGTTGTCGACGGCGATGGGACCGGCTGCCTCGGACCGGCCCGCCGGCTCCGTCTCCGATCCGTCGGATCCCCGGTCCAGGATGTCGACGGGAAGCTCGTCGCCGATCTCTGCGTTCAAGGCTCCGCCGACGCCGCCAGAGTGCACCAACGCCAGCGGAGGAAGGTCTGAGAAGTCGACCGTCTGCTGGCTGCTGAGCGGACTGCTGCTGCTGCTGCTGATCTTGTTGGCGTCGTCGCGGCTGCTGTCGCTGTCGAGGGTGATGATCACCGGAGAGCTGAGAGAGAGAGAGAGAGACAGAGAGAGAGAGAGAGAGAGAGAGACAGAGAGAGAGAGAAGAGAGAGAGAGAGAGAGAGACAGAGAGAGAGAGAGAGAGAGACAGAGAGAGAGAGAGAGAGAGAGAGAGAGAAGAGACAGAGACAGAGAGAGAGACAGAGAGAGAGGGTTGAAACAATATAATATATTCAGATTCATTGATCACTCAGAGAAACACATTCAACTTTAGTTTTTTTTATTTGAATTAAATACAGAATAGACGCAGACGAACTTAGAATCAATATATTTGTTAAACATGAGTAAAGTTGGATCTGTAAACAGGTGGTGGTAGGGCGCCCCCTGCTGGTGGTTTATATAACTGTAGAGAGTCTGATTCTTTATTATCTAATTATAGAACAACTACATTCATGTTTTAAAGTAATGTTGCAGGTTTTAGCCAGTTATTATATTATATTATTATAAATACAGTTATTATATTATAATATTATAAATACAGTTATTATATTATATTATTATAAATACAGTTATTATATTATATTATACTATTATAAATACAGTTATTATATTATATTATTATATTATAAATACAGTTATTATATTATTATATTATAAATACAGTTATTATATTATATTATTATATTATAAATACAGTTATTATATTATTATATTATAAATACAGTTATTATATTATTCTATTATAAATACAGTTATTATATTATATTATTATAAATACAGTTATTATATTATATTATTATAAATACAGTTATTATATTATTATATTATAAATACAGTTATTATATTATTCTATTATAAATACAGTTATTATATTATATTATTATAAATACAGTTATTATATTATATTATAAATACAGTTATTATATTATATTATAATATTATAATACAGTTATTATATTATTATATTATAAATACAGTTATTATATTATATTATTATATTATAAATACAGTTATTATATTATTCTATTATAAATACAGTTATTATATTATATTATTATAAATACAGTTATTATATTATATTATTATATTATATTATTATATTATAAATACAGTTATTATATTATATTATTATATTATATTATTCTATTATAAATACAGTTATTATATTATATTATTATAAATACAGTTATTATATTATATTATTATATATAAATACGTTATTATATTATATTATTATAAATACAGTTATTATATTATATTATTATATTATTATATATATTTATTTGTACCTGCTGTTCTGGGTCTTGCGGTGTCTCTTCCTGCGGCGTTTGCGGGCGGGCTGTTGCGTGGCGTTGGCGGCGATGGTTCCCTCGTAGATGATCTCCACGCTGGGACTCCGGTCCTCTCTGCACCTCCTGCTGCTGCTGGAGGAAACGTTTACACTCATTACACCACCACAACAACAACAACAACAACAACAACAACAACAGCTTCCTAACGGTGTAATATTGGTACAGAAACAGGAAGCGCCCGCTCTCACCCGTCTCCGCCGATCGCCCTGTGAGCGTCTCTCTTCAGCCGCTGTCGTCTCCTCCCTTCCTCTCTCCCCCTCTTCCTCCTCTCTGTCTCCCTCCTCTCCCTCCTCTCCTCCCTGTGGTTGTCGCTGCTCGGCCTCCAGGTCGGGTCCTTGTCGCTGTTGTCCAGGTGGCGGCTCTTGTACTTCCTCTTGCCGCCGGGTTTCTCTCCGTGGCGGGTGCCGCCGTCCCCGGGGGAGAGCGAAGGCGTCGGCGGCGTCTGCGATGACGGCTGCGGGGAGGAGCAGAGCGGTGAAGAGGAGGAAGAGGAGGGTGAGGAGACAGAGGAGGTGAGGGGGGAAACCTGGGAGCAGTGGTACTCCCAGGTGGAGTCCGACGGGCTGGGAGGCAGCGGCGAGCCGGACTCCACGCTGGAGTGAAACGGCGAGGGGGAGTGGGAGCGGTGACGCATCATGGCGGGATAGATGGAGCGGTTGGGGTTATACAGAGTGCCGCTCTTCCTCAGCCCGTCGCCACTCCTCTCCCGCGCCCTCCGGCTCCTCTTCCTCCTCCTCTTCTCCCTCACCCCCTCGCCGGCAGGCTGCTTCCGCTCTCTCCAGCTCGCTCTCTCCCGCCGCCGCTCGCTGTCTCCAGGAGGCGTCGCCGGACTGAGCGTGCACACCGAGTTCCCGCTCCTCCCCGAGCTGCCCGACCACGAGCGACCACGTGAGCGACACTCGGCCGCCTCGCCGTCGTTCTCCGTCGGCTTGTCGTCCTGTTCGTCTCTGTAGGTGCCCGACGTGGAGGGAGGGATTGTGGGTAGGTAGGAGAGGGGAGGGGTGGCGGTGGCGAGAGGAGGAAGCTTCTCCGCCGTGTCCTCCTCCTCCTCCTTCTTCTTCTTCTCCTCCTCTTCCTCAGAGTCAGAGGAGAGCTGCACCAGCTCCGGGGTTCGCTCTGCTATCGGCTTCTTGTACCCGACTATCAGACACTCCTCCTCGCACTCCTCTTCCTCCCGCTTCTCTCCTTCCTCCTCATTGGCCGCCTCCGGAGGGGCGGGGCTGAATAACAGCGAGGCGAGCGAACACGAAGGCTCGGCGCTCGAGTAGGAGGGGCCTGGAGTCTCGTCATCCCACGCCGCCAGGCTGAGGTTGCTTCCGGTCTGGATTATGTCGTCGTGAGCCGCCCGCGTCTCCTCTGATCTTCCTCCTGCTCGCCGCTCCTCTTCCTCGCCCTCTGAAATGGCGATGACGGAGCTGCTGTCGGAGGAGCTGCTCACGCCGTCCAGCTCCATGGCGGCGGCCGGCGGCTCGTAAACCGCCTGCAGGTCGTAGTTCTCCAGGCTGAGCGGCGAGCGGGCGAAGCTGACCAGTTCGTGCAGGAAGTGGTCGGTGCGTGCGAGCAGGAACTGCCGCAGCTCTTCTTCTATGGTGGGCGTGTCCTCCAGGCCGTGACGGGCGAGCCGCGCCATGATGATGCGCTGGACGATGTCGACCAGCGAGCCGTGTGCGCCGTACAGCACCGTGAGCTCTCGCCGCAGCCAGGGGCGGAGCCTGTTCAGGTGCACGGGGTTCCGCCGGAAACTGTCCGCTGTGATGTCACGCTGCTGTTGCCCCTGGTGACCGACCCCGGCGACGCCGCGGACCCGTGTGCCGCTGCGGTAGAGGGCGCGGCGGAAAGCTACCGTTTCTCTCTCCCTCAGCCGCCGCACAGTCCCGCCCTCTCGCTGCAGCCGCTGCCTCGCCGCCAAGCGAGTCATCAGCCGCCGCGATGCCCGGTCGTTAGGGGCAACAGGAGCCACTGCCCCCCCGAGTCCCGTCAGTCCCTCGAATATTACCCCACGCTCCGCCAGATCCACCCCGCCCCTCATCCTCTGCTCCTCCAGACCCTCGCCCTCCTCGCCGTCCTCCGCAACCACCGGAGAGACGGCGGGGTGGTGAGGAAGAGGAGGAAGAGGAAGAGGAGGAGGATCGAGGTACCACTCCCACACTCCCGCCCCCTCCCCCCCCCCCTGCTGCCCCCCCCCCCTCCCTCCCCTGTCTCTCCTCCGCCTCCTCGCGTTCGTCTCTCCGTCGTCCGCCCCCCTGTGCCTCCTCAGCATCAGCCTCATCTGGTGGTCGCTGCTCGCCGCCGACGCCATCGCCGCCACCATCGCCACGGTGGCGGCGACGCTGCTGTTGGCGGGCGGCGGCCGCAGCGTGTACTCCTTGAAGTCGTCCTCGGCGCGGACCGAGTGCAGGATGGAGGCGAAGGGCTGCTTGCACAGCGGACACTCGGCCTTGTTGTGCGACCACTCCTGGATGCAGGGGAAGCAGAAGCGGTGCAGGCAGCGGTCCAGGTACGCCAGGTTGTTGAAGCGGTCCAGGCAGATCGGGCACTTGGAGTCGGGCGACGCGTCCTCCGCCGCCATCACCGCCCGCGCCGAGGCGGAGGCGGAGGAGGAGGGAGGAGAGGAGGAGGCGGTGGCGGCGGCGGCGGGGGGGGGAGCTGCGGTCGAAGCCTTGCTGGTGTTCTTCCTCCTGCTGCCGCGTCCTCCGCTCTCTCTGCTCCTCTGCTCCTCTTCCTCCGGCGGACCGCCTCCCGCTGCGGCGCTCGAACCTACGGACGCATTGTCACGCCGCCGCACACGAAGCTTCATCCGCGTGGGCGCCATCACCTGAACACACACAGAGAACACAAGGTAACAGACCTTTACACTGACACCACTTCATCCTGTACTCTGAGGGTCGGGGGTTCGATTCCCGGCGGCTGCAGAGTGAACGAGGGTCATCGTTAGCTCTGGGGTAGAACATGCTAACAGACGTGCTAACAGGCTAAGATCTAACACAGAGCCCCGTTAGCATCGTGCTAACACAGACAGTGAGCCCCGTTAGCATCGTGCTAACAGAGACAGTGAGCCCCGTTAGCATCGTGCTAACACAGACAGTTAGCCCCGTTAGCATCGTGCTAACACAGACAGTGAGCCCCGTTAGCATCGTGCTAACAGAGACAGTTAGCCCCGTTAGCATCGTGCTAACAGAGACAGTGAGCCCCGTTAGCATCGTGCTAACACAGACAGTGAGCCCCGTTAGCATCGTGCTAACACAGACAGTGAGCCCCGTTAGCATCGTGCTAACAGAGACAGTTAGCCCCGTTAGCATCGTGCTAACAGAGACAGTGAGCCCCGTTAGCATCGTGCTAACAGAGACAGTGAGCCCCGTTAGCATCGTGCTAACAGAGACAGTTAGCCCCGTTAGCATCGTGCTAACAGAGACAGTTAGCCCCGTTAGCATCGTGCTAACGAGACAGTGAGCCCCGTTAGCATCGTGCTAACAGAGACAGTGAGCCCCGTTAGCATCGTGCTAACAGAGACAGTGAGCCCCGTTAGCATCGTGCTAACACAGACAGTGTGCCCCGTTAGCATCGTGCTAACACAGACAGTTAGCCCCGTTAGCATCGTGCTAACAGAGACAGTTAGCCCCGTTAGCATCGTGCTAACAGAGACAGTTAGCCCCGTTAGCATCGTGCTAACCGGCTCTTTGATAGCATCCATTAATCTTGAACCGCCGCTCTGAGCAGAGACAGCCGCCGGTCGGTGCCCGCTGTGCTCCGGTGTTACCGGTGTTTCCGGTGTTTCCGGTGTTTCCGGTTTTACCGGAGCTCGTTAAACGGAAACGTTTCTGTTATTTGTAGCCTGTTAGCATGCTAACGCACAGCTAGCTCCCGTACCTGAGCAGCAGCAGAAGAAGAAGACCGCTCCGGGAGCTTCTCATCCGGGTAGTTCCTCCTCCTCCGGGCGGACTTCCGCACCGTGAGCGGCATCCACCGGCAGAGGGGTCGTCGGTCCACCGGGCTCCGCGGCTCTGGTTCCGTTTACAGCCGAACTCTCGTTATAACGGACTCATCGGTGTCGGTGCTGTCGCCCGAACCACAGACACACACAGCTGGAAGGAGGACGTGCCGCGGGGCATGATGGGAAATCCTACGTCAGATTTTTTTTTTCCAAAGATCGTAAATAAAAGAAGATGAGTCACTCCAACACAATACGAAAAACTCCTGTTTGTAATGTAAATAAAACCCTTTATTACATTTAAATTCACATAATGCTCAAATATAAATGTATGACAGAGACAACATATCGATCAGTCCCTCCAGGAAGAAACAATTAATGCAAATCCGATCGATCCCTGTCTCAGTGGGACAATATTAATTACTTCACTTTGGCCTGTAATTAAAAACAACGTGCAGCATTTTCTACAAATAAAGACAATAAACGATAGTTTATGTTTATTTTACTGAGCTCATTTATTTATGCTCATTCTGTGTAAACACCAACAAAAGTGATTCTGGTTGTGAAGAGTGAGACATCTGTCTACGGTAGTAACGGCCGTGTGCTCAGTGCTGCCCCCTAACGGCCCCTAACGGTCGCTAACGGCTCCTAACGGCCCACTAACGGCCCACTAACGGACCCTGAGTATCGTTCAGCCTTTAATAATCGATTACAGTGAAAAGCAACCGGAGAGGAAACGTATATTAAAGAGTTTTGGGGGGTAATTAAGTTAAAAAGTGCCCCTGTGGTTATTGATGGGTAATCTGTGTCACTCTCACTCCGGAGCACAAGATGGCGGCAGCGCGCTCAGTTCGCGGGCTTCCAACCGCCGTGAAGAACCGGAAGAGAGAGGCAGTCAGAGTAAACAAACCGAACCGGGACTTCAGCGGGTTCGTTCTGGGTCACATTAACAGGATGGTGGTGTTCAGCAGACGGGACCTGGACCGGATCTACTCTGTGGTTCGTTACACCGGTTCTCTGTTACCGGGAAGGTCCGCTTCAGCTAACGGCTAACGGCTAACGGCTAACGGACGCATTAGCCGCGTAGCTTAGCAACGGAAGCTCGAACACAAACACTGAGTTTATGATCGATGATCGATGATCGATAGTTAACGAGGCAGTCATTATACATAGTTGATGAACAGTATCAGTTATTAGGATTAATAAATATAAATATTGATCATATTACAGCCACTGTTTGGTTGATCTGGACAATATTGGAGTTGGTTTTAGGGATTATTAATAATTATTAAGAAGCAGTGAACTACACAAACAATCCTACCATCCTGTAGAATGAGCAGATTATAATCATTAGTTTATAGGATTATAATTTGTTCTATATTTTCTCCTTTATTTAAATAAATAATAATAATCTCATCCAGTTTAAACACACGTTGCCTCAGTTCACTGTTGTTTCTCTCAGTTCACTGTTGTTTCTCTCTCAGTTCACTGTTGTTTCTCTATCAGTTCACTGTTGTTTCTCTCAGTTCACTGTTGTTTTTCTCTCAGTTCACTGTTGTTTCTCTCAGTTCACCGTTGTTTCTCTCTCAGTTCACCGTTGTTTCTCTCAGTTCACCGTTGTTTCTCTATCAGTTCACCGTTGTTTCTCTGTCAGTTCACCGTTGTTTCTCTATCAGTTCACCGTTGTTTCTCTCAGTTCACTGTTGTTTCTCTCAGTTCACTGTTGTTTCTCTATCAGTTCACTGTTGTTTCTCTCAGTTCACTGTTGTTTTCTTCTCGTTGTTTCTCTATCAGTTCACCGTTGTTTTTCTTCTCTCAGTTCACCGTTGTTTCTCTCTTTTTTCTCAGTTCACTGTTGTTTCTCTCAGTTCACCGTTGTTTCTCTCTCAGTTCACCGTTGTTTCTCTCTCAGTTCACCGTTGTTTCTCTCTCAGTTCACCGTTGTTTCTCTCTCAGTTCACTGTTGTTTCTCTCTCAGGTCTTACTGGCCGTGGTGGTCTTGTCCTGGTCTTATGTGATCTACGCCAGCAGGATCGCGTCCCATTGGCTGCTGGAGAGGAGGACCGCCCTCCTCCAGCAGGACTGACCGCCAGCGCAGGCGAGTGTTTGTCGTAGTTGGGTTGTTGTGATCGGGACCGCAGCTCTTCTTCATGCTAAGCTAACTCACTAACGGCAGCTCCGTCAGAGAGAAAACAAGAAAACATTTTCACTGACATCAACAACAAGTTTACGTTGGTCCGTCGGGTTGTAAGAAAATATAAAATAATGTTGTACAGTAGTGTTTCTATTGATTATTAGTGTTTGTAGTGTTAATACGTACGGTGTCACTGTACAGTTCACAGAATAAACCAAAGACTGTCAAAGGTTGTTCATGTTTTTAAGTTTTTAAGAAAAGTCTTTTTATAGCTGGATTTATACCAAATATTGATCAGGTGGATGATGTTGGTAGAATCTTAATAACAACAGATTTCATTAAAGTTTCAGAGACTAAAGATGGTTGAAGGAATCAGACATTGGATAAATTGTTCTCTCTCTCTCTTTGTGTCTTTGTCTGTTGTTCTGATCTGGTCTCAGACTGATGGACCGGTCCAACCCTTCCCGGGATTCAGACCTGTAGAGACCAGACCTTCTGAACCTGACGGACCTCTGAGAGCCTCGGGGGGGGCGACGAGGTCTGAGCACTGAGGAAGAATAAGGACACAAACACAAGGACTTATGGGTTCTTTCTGTTTAACTCCTCACTGATTACATGTGTAATAAACGACTACATGTTATTGATCACATCTGTAGTGATGTTGCACTGTGGAGGTGAAACTGTGAGTTTTAAAGGTTGTATATATTCACTGCCACTAGATGTCGCACTAGAGCACCACAACCAGACTCCTTTAACAGAAACAGTGATTTTACCCAGCAGACAGTCACTTCCAAAAACCGTCTGTTAGTCTTTACAACAACCACAGACAAAATAAATCCTCAATTTACAGATTTAGATGTTAAGAAAAGCTCCAAACAGGCTGCTATATTATCTGGTTTTGGGTTTTCAGACCAAAAATCTATTTGATGACTTCACTTCGTATTCTGGGACATTGAGATGGAGACATCCTGTTTTATTGAACTCCTCCTAGAGAATCAATCGGATCGACTTCATATTTGGTCAGCACGCTGTAAAGACATTCACGATGACAATTTATCAAAATCTTGAGGTTTTGTTTAACGGCAAGTCCTCGGCGTGGCGTCAAACGTTGGTGTTTCACCATGAAAACGGAACCCCAAACCCAAACTTATAGGGTTATTACCCCGCCCTGAACACACCTACGTACCAATATTCAGTCACAGTCAGCGCCACCTACTGGCAACAGGAAGTAAAGCCATGTACGGTGAATGTGATCTGATGATGTTCTTCACTGCAGCTTCAGTTTATATTTGTACTTTCTGATGTATTAAAGTGTTGTTTCAGTCGATCGGTGTCCAAACGTCTCATTTCATCCCGACTGTTCACTGTACGCGGAGCATCGACTCATTGATTTATTCTAAAGAAAACCATCGATATGAATGGAAACAGCTCATTGTGTGTGTGTGTGTGTGTGTGTGTGTGTGTGTGTGTGTGTGTGTGTCTGATGTATTCAGTAACTAAAGGCTCTCTCACACACACACACACACACAGTCTTGTTTCATAACAGTGAGACGCTTTGATGTGTGTGTCCTCAGATATGTAAATGTCCTCAACTGAATGGGTGGGTGAGAGAGGGCGAGCGAGCCCAACAGTGAATGAGAGGCAGAGAGAGAGAGAGAGGCTCTTTAGGTGAGTACTCATTCTATTAACAAAAACACTTCAAACACACACACACACACACGTTCTCTCTCATCTGTAATTAAAAACCTGGTCCTCTCCTCTCGCTGGGCCTTAGAGCCACAGTGAACTGATCCAGATCAGAACAATCTGATTTATATAAAAGTGTGGGTCAGTTAACACAACCTGCCGCCATCATTCATTTAACTGTGATGTTTTTGAGATCTTCTTTAACGATCGTGCTTTTAGTGATGACGTGTGTGTTTCACTTCAGTTTGGACCAACTCAAACTAGTCCTGCTGTGATCCAGATGAGCGACTGGACACTTTTATTGAATTTGCACAACTTGAAATGACCGCCAACGAGGACAATTCACATCACATACAGTTAGATAGATTTTCAAAGTAAAATATTTCAGCACTATAATGTCAGTAGTATCTAAATTTCCACATTAAGTATGAAGCCGTGCCCAGATTTAACAACACAACCACGTCTTTGCTTCGTATTTAAAGACTCCAAATAACGTTCATACTCATAAACCTTAAAATACAATTACATTTTATGAAAAACCTTTATGCCTCGAATCTCTTACTCAGACTGAGACACAACTCCTCCTCTCCTCTCTCAGGTCCTCTCCTCTTCTTCTTTTTGCTCCATCTGTTGTCATGTCAGCAATCTTGGCTGCTAACTAGTAAACAGATCCCTTCATCTCTGTCTTTTCAAGTCGTCCATCTGCTCAACAATGTGACATAAATATTCATAGAACACATCCGAGCCAGCAGAGATGTTAATGAGCCGAATTCAGTTTGAGTGTAAAACCACCCGAGATCATCGAACTGAAGAATCCAGAGGAGGAAGTTTAGTTTTAATATATTTTATTTTTATTCATCATTTTATTTTGTGCCTATAAAACCCCAAAAATCTCTATATTGTGTCAATATCAGAATCAGCCTCACAAACTGTGATTGGTGTTTAATGGTAGAAACTATCCTGGTTTTCTGACAGGGAGAATTATCAGCTCCACGTTGTCCAGTCAAACAACTGTGGACCAAAATATACAAACAAAGAAAATAAAGTTAAATCTTACAGTTGGTTTATAACAAGTAACCACAGTCTGCACAGAACAGTGAGCACAGAGAAAAGTAAACAGATGCAAACATCAGTTTGAATTTTAAGAATAAATACTGAATTGCAACTGACCCTTTCCAACAACAGCTGACCGTAGCCTCGGTCAACCTCCTCCTTTCCTGTACTTAGATATGCTATGTGCTAGGCTAGTCTATTTTGAAGAGACAACCACACGCTGTTTGAGACCCACTGTTTTCTAATTAGCTAGATTTACAAAAAGCCAACTTAATATTTTTGGCCAAATCTTGAACTAGATTTGTTAGTACTTACTTTCTGTAGTTTCATATGACAATAAACATCTTGAACTTGAACTTGAACTAGTTATAGTGATTTTACCTGACTATCAGGGTTCAATGGGTTTTTTTTCTTGCCTGTTCAGGCTAGTGGGTCAGAAATGTGCTTGCCCCAATACAAATAGTTGTATTTATTAGTAGCTTCTAAATAACTCATCTAGCTTCCAAAATTTCTTTCTAAAAAGGATCCTGTAGAAATCAATAAATTGTTTTATTTCCAAATCTTTAGACATTTTTCCAAAATACACGATTTTCTTCATTGAACTTAAACCTTCAAGTCATTACTTAGTCAAAGATGTTGCCATAATGGATAATTGAATTAGTATCTGTTTTTTCGATTAATGTAATGTAAAGCATCTGACACCAAACTGAGGTGACCAGGCCTTTTTCATGCCAGCTAGATCCACCCCGGATGCCTTGCTCTCAAACTTCCATCCTCTAACGCCCCCCCACTAAACTCCTGTTTCTAGGATTACAGAAATGCTCGTTTGGCTTTGTCTTTACCTGACACCATTTTCTTGTGAGTGCCTCGTCAGTACTGAGAATGTGCAACCCTCAACAGAGGTGAGAAGGAAGCGAGATAGCTCACTCATTAGCTCGTCTATCATCAGCGCCGGAGAAAACAACCTGTTGCTAGATTTACTTGCCTGATGTGGAATTTTACTTGTCCTTACTTGTTGAGAGCTCAGTTGTGATAATGTGTTTAAGATGCAGGGATCTTGTTCAGTGGATTAATGACAAACAGCCACAACATGATGGTTACATAACATATAAATACTTTCAGGCTGTCAACAAACACGGATGACAACTGGAAAAAAATCACATCTAACGATAAACTGAGTTTCTGGGAATCAGGACGGATCTAGAAGAATGATGTATCTACAGCATCGACCTCTGCCCCATATCTACAGCATCGACCTCTGCCCTGTATCTACAGCACAACCTCTGCCTCGTGTCCCTAACCTTTGTAGAAAGTTCAGCAATAAGGTTAAAGGGTGTTACCCACTTACACAGTTATAATAATGTGTTAATGTGTTTAAGCTCCGGGGATCTTGTTGTTCAGTTGATTGACATAATTAAACAGCCACAGCACGATGCATACATATAACATATAACACATTATATATAGTTTTCAGGCTAACTGTCAACAAACACAGATGACAACTGAAGAAATCACATCAAATGATAAACTCAGAGTTTCTGGGGATCAGGCCGGATCCAGGAGATCATCGTTTAGGAACCCCGGCATGGAGGAGTACAAGTCTCGCTCTTTCTCCGACTCTGCCTCCGTCTCCGTGGTGATGTGTTTAGTCGTCTTGGCGTCTGGACTGACGTCCTTGGAGACCAGAGACGTCTTCTTCCCCACCAGCCAATAGGTTACCATGTCACCTTTCCCCTGTTTGAGACGGGACAGATCCAGACAGTTAGTGGGCAGCTCCCAGTGACCGAAGTGAACAACGGTGGGAGTGGGTGTCTCACCTTGACCTGCAGCATTCCTCTGCACTCCAGGACGTAGCCGCCGATCTCCTCCAGCAGGTAAAAGGCACTGGAGCTGCACTGGATCTTCAGGGCTGGAAACACGACTCAGTGTTAGAATGATTGATAATGAAGTTACATTAGCATTGTGTTCTGACATAAACAATAAGTAAAGATTCCCATTGTAAAAACTGATTGTGCAAAATAGGTTGTTTCTTGCATTAAAGTTTCTCAGGTTTAGCTACCAACTTTCACATGTCCAATGTCTGGGTGGTCAAGTAAAGGTCAGTGAGTGTAACGTAGAGAGTGTTACCCAGGCTGGTGGACTCCATCCTAGATGCTGTGTTGACTGTGTCTCCGAACAGACAGTAACGAGGCATCTTCGTCCCCACAACCCCCGCTACCACCGGACCTGAGAAGAGAGAGAGACATTAAAGGTTGATTTATAAAACATGAGTATATTGTTTAAAACGTGTGAGTGTGTGCGTACCGGAGTGTATCCCAGCTCGTATCTGTAGCTGCATGTTGGGTTTGTGGGGGATCCTGAAGGTGCGACAGACGCCCACCAGGTCCAGAGCCATGCTGGCAATCTCTGAGGCGTGAAGGATCCCGTTCTCCAGGGGAACGCCGGAGACCACCATGTCTACACAACCACATAATAATAAAGTTAACAGCATTTAACCGTACCATCATAAAGGTTATAACGGTTAAAGGGTTTTTGGGGCCATATTTAGGCCACCTGATTTATATCTTGAGGGTACAATCCATCCAGTCACCTGAAGTTAGTGACAGTAAGACAGGACAGTAATACACAGTAGATAACGCTCACATGCATCTCCGATGGTTTCCACCTTGTAGACGTCGTAGTTGTCAATGATGTCATCAAACGTTGTGTAGAGTTTGTTGAGGAAGTCCACGACCTGGTAAGGTGTGCTGCTGCTGGACAGCTGTGTGAAGCCCACGATATCACTGCACACACACACACACACACTTTGGACTGATCACTTTAAATCTGATGGACCTCTCAGTCAACACTGTGAGTTTAAATCTTTATAAAAACAACCTGAAAACGCTTTGAAACATTGTCATCCTTTATGATTATGATTATTTATATAGTGCAGCCTCTGTGTGATATACAATAAGACACAAGCACAGATGCTGTTCACTTCAGAAGTGATGAGGGAGAAACTTCTTTCAGCCCATTCTTTCCACTTTATTCTAGATCAAATAAATGCATCTCAAGCCAAATTCAGATCAATACTGAGCAAATTTTCTTGGAACGTTTGAATTGAAACATGTTTTTTTTGTTCCGGTGTGAAATAATGCTGTGATCCATTTGTCTCGTAAATCCCCCGCCCGAGTTGGAAAGTGTAAATCTCGCAGCTATCTCGCGACATTTCACCGAGACACACCCCCTTTTGGTCGTAATATCAGCCGTCCCACTCGGGGCTCCTCAGAGTTCACCGAGCTGAACGGGGGGGCACGTATGACTCGTAAAACAAAAATGGCTGCGCCCATATTTCATGGTGTTGAGATGTATTTTCTTTGTATTTGACTACGTTGGTCGTTTTAATGTCGACTTTAAATGCTCTGTTTACATTGCTGCTTTAGTCCGGTCACCAATTTATGCATTGCACGGTGTTGCTGTGCGTGCAATACAATGTAAAGTTTTGTTTTCGAGCTGGTTTGTTAAATAGGCTAATGTAGCTAACAATAACACTGCCTACCCCTGCCACTGGAGGCCCCTGGTGGCCCCTGGTGGCCCCTGGAGGCCCCTGGTGGCCCCTGGTGGCTCGAGAAAAAATATTACAAGACAGCTGCTGCACTGGCGGCGTCCATGTTCTTTCCGACTTGTAATGCCCGAAGACAAACTGGAAGGGTATAAGTGGTACAAACGTCACGTTCGCGAGTCAGAGCAACTCGGGCGGAGGATTTACGAGACAAATGGATCGCAACATAATTCCAAATGTTCCACTTAACAGGGACAGTGTTGTCTTTGGTGTCTGAACAATCAACAGCACATCTGACTGTTTATTAAGGAACTGCCCAGCATCTACAGCTACAACGGCTGCCCTTTACTACAGAATTGACTGATGCCCTGTATCTACAGTAACAACCACTGCCCTGTATCTACAGCAAGACACATTCTTCAAAAATAGTTGTTTACATAGTAAACATGATTGAATTGAAATTAGTAGATCATAAACACCACATCTAAATAAGACAAACACACTCTCATTCAGTCAGTTCCTTTTGCTCCTACCTGAAGAAGATGGTAGCACTGACATAACTCTGAGCCTGCAGCGGTTTCCCCTGCCGCAGGTCATCAGCTACCTGTTTCGGAAGCATACCTGCAACACAAAGATGCAAATAGTTTTATTTATTTAATTATCATTTACAGGTGCAGTAAACAATTCTAGAGCAAGATAGTTGATTATTGTGTCTCTGCATCGTTTCACTGATTTCAACGGGAACTCAACCCAATGGAAAGCATTAGAGAATAACTTTTCAGACGCAAGGTGTTTTTAAATTAAAAATAGAATGCAGAGTTCTATAAATAGTCAAATTACAAATAAGTAACCATGGCTATTTCTGACTAAACCCCAATTTGTGCTATCATTACATTAAGGTGAAATCACTGTTTGTAAAGCAAGTGCTGTCAATTTTAATTTAAATCAAAGATGTTTAAGTTACAAATTAAAAAACCTAAGGTGGTAAAGTTAAAATCCTGTCTGCTTTATGCATTGTGCATGACTCAGGGTGACATCTTATGCAATTTAGGATAGCGTAGGTAGGTTTAGAACTTGTTTTGAACCACTACCCAGCTGGATCTTCACACATATTTAGCTGCAAAAGTTATGAACATATTTGGGACACTGGTAGATTTTGTGGTTCTAGGTTTGTGTTTAATATCGCCCGACAGGAGGTAACTTTGAGAATTGGGTTGGCATTGCACTGTGATACACATTTATTGCTGATCCATATTCTCCTCAGCCGAACCTCAATAAATGCTGCTGTGTAAGTCATCGATGTCTCCTGAAATCTTTGAGTACAAGTGATTTGTCTTCCATCAAATGCATCAGTAAGGTTTTTTTATGCTCAGAATCTTTTATGAATTATACATAATCACATTGTCGGACATGGTGATAGAAGTGTGTCATACTGTATAGCAGTCTGTCAGTCCTCTGTTTCTCATGCATCAGATCCTGTGTCCGCTCAGCCACCAACACCTCCAGGTGCTTACTGTACTTCTCCATCTGAAACAGAGTTGTACCTTCATATTACATTGATACAAGACAGTATAGAGAGCTCTGAGTCAGCTTTGAGTTCAAATGAATATCAAACTGTTCAATAAAGTTACAATATAAGACAAAGTGATACTAGATTACTTTTAAATTGATGTCTACTTTGTGTTACACAGGTTATTACCAGGCTCATCATCATGTCCACCGGGCTGACTTTGATCGGGTTGATTCGGTGAACAAACTTCTTGATTTGTTCAAAGGTGGGTCGGTGGGTGGGGTTATGAGAGCGACATCGTCGGATCAGCTAAGGAAACACACATGGGACAAAAGACAGCAATAGAGGTAATTTATAACATCTAAATTAAATAATGGTTGGTTAAAAGCAGATTTAGGGGGTGTGTACTCACCTCTACATAGTCAGCAGGACAGGGGCAGGTGTTGTCGGCTTTACTGGAGATCAGCTCTGGCAGAGGAGGACACCAGGCACTCTCCAGATTAGACTCTTCTGCCTGCAAAGTGTGATTTTTAAAATGATTTGACCTTCATTTAACCACTGATCTGTTCAATAAGGCAGCACACATAATAACCTGACTATAAACATAAACTCGGCTGTGACTTTGGTTGTAGATTGTGACTTACTGGGACGGGGTCGCTCCGAGTTGCAATCTCCAGCAAAATGATGGAATAACTGGGGAAACATAGAGGTTAGCAATGTGACTCTGTATATGTATGTATATGTGCATTAATCACTTGGCGGGGACGGAGACCTGTCAGCACACTCACATTGTGGGGACTCAAGGGACTCATTAAGGTCAGTTAACTCTCCAGGGAATGAATGTCAATCAATTTAATGTCCCCCTTAGTGACAAAAACAAGTTTTTGTGTGATTGATACCTGAACACGTCTCCAGCCAGCGTCGGCTCCATGTTAGAGTTATGAAACTCAGGCGGCATGTACACCTCCAAGAGTCTCTGCTGATAGGTGGAAAGAGGCTCTGCCCTATCATCTGTGCGATACATCCTCAGGCCATAATCTGACAGGACAGACCACATATCAAAAAATCAAAATCAGAAAGTGAAACCATCCAATCAGTGTGATGATGTAAAGACAGAGGTTTTTGTTTGTGGATGTTCTATTTTAAGTAGACAAGCAAAGCCCTCATACGCTTTTTAAATAACCAAATAATAGCCATGAAAATAATATTTTTTACCTGGATTGTTGTATTATTGATATTTTATTTTTAACATTCAGATAAATTCCCAGATTTTTTATTTTGAAAATGGAACAAGCCTTTAAAATTAAACATACTGGTGTATATACTTCATATTACCTGTTATTTTGCAGACCCAGCGGTCGTCTAAGACACAGTTTAGAGACTTGAGTCGGCCATGACAGATCTTGTGTTGGTGTAGGTACGACACCCCTCTCGCAATGTCTGTAGCAAACGAAAACCTGGAGTGTATACAACTGGGGATTATTCATTTTTCTTACTCAAATTAACATGTTGTATAAAAAAAGGAAATGATAAACACTATGTTCAGTTATTATTGTAACTGACCCTTCCTAAGTCCCGCCCCTTTTTGCTCCAATAACAGTTGAGCAAACCTTGGTCAACTTCCTTCTTTCCTGTACTTAGATATGCTATGTGCTATGCTAATGTATGTTGAAAAAACAAGATGTGACTGTAGATTCGCTTGTCTTTTATCTTATCGTAGCACACAGCATATGTAAGTAAGGAAAGGAGGAAGTTGACCAAAAGAGGCGGGACTTATGAAGGGTCCGTTTTGATTGAATCAGCATGCTATTGTGAGACTGTGTTTGGGTGTCTACCTGAAGCCCCAGTTAAGTGGGATCTCCTCATTAAGAAGGACATCATTAAGGCTTCCTTTTGGGCAGTACTCCGTCACTATGGCAACATTAGGAACCTCAACACACCCGCCAATGAACTTACACAGGTTGGGGTGATCGAGCTCCCTGGAGACAGAGAAAGAGAATCAAAATACCTTATCTGATATATAAGGGCTCATTTTAGATAAGGAAGGGTGACGAGTGTGTATGGTACCTGACTTGTTTGACTTCCTGTCTGATGGTTTTGGATAGAGAGAAAGTCTTTGTTTGAATCCGCTTGATGGCCACCGTCCTGCCGTCACTGGAGAAGAAAATTATTCTTATTAATATGTTAATCTTTACCAACCAGGCTTGAAACATTGAGCTTGAAGCAGTGTGTGGATATGTGTGTGTTTAGATCCATTTATTAAAGTCAGGATAAACAGTCTGGGGCTTCCTTGTGGAGTTTATGGCACATTTGCATTGTCCCAGGTTTGAATCTGGCTGGGGATCTTTGTTGCATGTCAGTTTCTCTATTGTAGACTCTAACACATAGTATTCCCCAAAATATATTTTGAAAAGTAAATAGTTTGATTACTATAAGAAAACTTTCTTCTTTTCTCAACCTCTTTGAAAGTGTGTTCAAACAGAATCCAAAGCAAGTCAACTCACATGGAAATATATCGGTTTGCAGTGAATCAGTTATGCCTTCTTGACAAGACAAGAGCTTTAGACAGACAGGTGGTCAAACAGGTGGACATACTATATCCCAGTGCAGGTGAACGGTGTTTTTCGGGTGCCGGGTTGTCCTGTATAGGAGCTGAGAGCAGTCACACAGCTGGTGTTACTGTCGCTGTTCCCTACCGGTACACTCATCATACTTCCCATGGTCATATGAGCTTCCTGATCTGTAGAGATAAAGAAAGAGAGAGCAGCATTATGAAATAATTTCTATATAACCTGATCTACCTTTAACACCAAATATCAATAGGAAAACATGAAACTCTTGTTGTAGACTTTGTGACTTGTGCATGACTGTTCCAGCCTGTTTCCGTCAGTTACTGTAACTGACCTGTTCAGACCAAAGCCATACCTGTCAAATTCCAGACCAGTGTACACTGGTTTCAGCCATTTTAGATACATTTCAGATTTGTTCAGTGCATAGACAAGTTATATAGTTATTAGTTATAAGTCCCTCACAAGTTCTCTTCTGATCTGGATTGTTACAGCACCTTGTTTTATCGTTGCAAAGTCTATGATCCAGCTCTCATCCCACAACAGCTTCTGTTTCTGATACCTCAGCCACTACAAGAGACAGATTTTTTGATTAGTTGTTGTGTATTATTTTATTTATTATTATTATTTATTTTTTTAGTATTTCGCAGGGTTTCTATTAGCATATGTGTGAGTTCTCACCACAGCGGTCAGTATGAAGCAGAGGCAGAGCAGGCTGAGTGGCAGTCCGATCGCTAGCTTGGTGGTTGGGCTCATAGGGCATTCACCACAGTCAGCTGAACAGGTAGAACAAAGCTCTGCCTCTTCACAGACACCATCACCACACACTTAAAGGGGAGAAAAGAAGATTAAGGAGCTACTTGTTCATGTTTACACAAATTTAGTTAATTTGCGGAGACATTTGTGATTTCCAAACAACAAACAAACGATACCCAACCCTAGTGTTTGTTTCTATAGTCATGCTAGGGAGCAGAGGGGAAATATACACCAACATAACCTACCTACAGCAGGGTGCACGGTGCTCTTGGCCTCAAGAGCAACCTGCATGCGACCGACTCGTATGTGAGCAATGAGCGAGGTTAAACCAGCATGGACCAGGACCACCTGAGAGACAGAGTAATGGGTTTACCAGATCAATTAGGAACACTATCCAAGGATGTGACAGCCGGACTTTAACATCAGAGTAACTGAATTTAAAAGTTTGTCCTTAATAAAGGTTGTGGGGGGAAGGAAGTTTGGTGATTGATTCTATACCTCAAACATTAGCAAAAAGGCTGAAAGAACTTGAGAGCGTATAGGGAGGAGAGTGAGAAATATTAGTGATATAAAGTAGTGTATCATCTGCATACAAAGATATTACTGCCCATAAAGCCTACTGAGAGAATGTGATACTGGGCTATACAGATTAAACTTCTGTTACCTTGGCAGTCCAGTTGGTCTGCGTCATCTTGCCGGAGGTTGAGATGGTGTGTGTGAAGATTCTTCCGTCATCAGGAATCCAGGGACCACAGATGCTCTCTGAAGTCTGAAAGGTTGTTTAATGTTAATTGGTTCGTTGACTTTAAAATGTCCTTTCATCAAATAGTGGCACTTTTAAATAAATATCTCCAGATGAAAACTACGTTTCTGCTGATCGGCAGAAGTTGAAAATAACTAAGTACATTTACTCTTTACGGTAATTCAGTACTGGTTAGAGAGTTTGATATTTTGAATATTAGCATTTTGAGGGCGTTCGTACATTTCCTCATTTATATTTTTCTTAAGGCATCGCTACGTAGCTTCAAAGAGTGAGGATGAAAAATAAAGAAAATGCAGTACCATGTACCCCAGTGGACAGGAGTGGATGTTAGCATGATGAATGCAGCAGTTTTCTCCGTCTGCGTCTTTCCAGTTGGCCGGACAGTCGTGATGTTCACAAAATGTCCGAGCTGCTTCAGCATTCGCTATGGAACTAAACAGACACCAGACCAGGATGAGATCCAGCTCGGATCACAGTAGAATTTAATAGTCAGTCTAAAACGGGTGTAAAAAAGTGTAAGTCTTGAACTGGTTTACATCCAGTACAACCAGTTGTAACCCAGTATAACAGATGTATTAACCTGTGTGTGAAGATGTGGTTTTCGACTGCCCAGTGGTAGAAAGAGTCTGTGGCCGTTACCGAGTATGTCACGCTGAACACCTCACCGGTCTTCACCGTCTCTGGAGGACGGACCACCCAGGCCATCTCCAGTCCTGGGCGAGAGACACAGCATAACACAGAGAGAGAGAGAGAGAGAGAGAGGGAGAGAGAGATCATAGCCGAGAGAAAATAACCATCAATCGGACCAATCACCAGTGTTTAAGAGCCTGTTTACAGCTGGTATTAACATGTGTCTTGGGACAGCTCTAAATATAAACAACCACTGAGACACATTGTGATCCGGTCACTCAGACCACTTTCCGAGGTGGTCTGGGACTCATTTGACCACTTTTGTAGTGTAAACGCTGATGAGTCCTGGGCCACCTACCCAACTGAGGTCCTGTACACAGAAACAGGCTGAGGAGAAACGTTATCAGCTTTTGTGAAACACTTTCTATGACACATTCTTTATTATTTGGGCCTCCTTGTTATTTTGGCAAACTCTGCACATGAATTTATTTATTTCTTTGTGTCTCTTTGTCCCAGCGTGTTGGCTACCACTGGGGGTAACTGGAGATGTATGTGGAGACACACCCAAGATTCATCTTAATGTTGGGTGTAAACAGTCAGAAGGTAGAATATCTTTTTATTTATAAAGTTTTATTTCTGTAGTATTCACAGAGTTTACTTATTGGTTCTCTGGAGTAATAAAATAATAAGTGTTTCCTTCCTGTAGTACAGTTTAAACAATTATTGTAAATAGTGTATATATATTTTATATTCTAGATTTTTTTATTATTTTTTTTTTATTTTATTTTATCATATAAATCATATATTATATCATATGTCTTTAAAGATAATTATCCGGCTTTGAGACACACAATACTTGTTCATTTGATTCTGAACAAGAAGAAAAGTTTAACAGGCTTCAGATTGTCACCTCCACAGTCGATCATGTTGTATTCGTTGGGTTTGTCCAGAGGCCAGCAGTCGTACTCGCTGTTGTCCAGGTCGTGCCAACAGCCCGCCGGAGCAACACAGCAAACACACACCTGGAAACAACACAACACACCCGAGTGATCGACCAGCAGAAAGAAAGAACTAATGACCAATAATTCACCAATAATACAACAATAATCCACCAATAATCCATCAATAATAAAACAATAATAGACCAATAATACAACATTAATCCACCAATAATACAACAATAATAAAACAATAATCCACCAATAATACAACAATAATCCACCAATAATCCATCAATAATAAAACAATAATCGACCAATAATACAACAATAATCCATCAATAATAAAACAATAATCGACCAATAATACAACAATAATCCACCAATAATCCATCAATAATAAAACAATAATCGACCAATAATACAACAATAATCCACCAATAATCCACCAATAATACAACAATAATAAAACAATAATACACCAATAATACACCAATAATACAACAATAATCCACCAATAATACAACAATAATCCACCAATAATACAACAATAATATAACAATAATCCACCAATAATAAAACAATAATACAACAATAATACAACAATAATCCACCAATAATAAAACAATAATAAAACAATAATACAACAATAATACAACAATAATCCACCAATAATAAAACAATAATACAACAATAATCATATAATAAACAACGATCCAGTAACAGAGAAGAATATGGGCTGCTGCTGAACACATAAAGATCATATAAAAATATGGAATTTATCTTAATTGAGGCAATAAAGATGCATTTAAATAATATTCACTGTTTCCAGGGCAAAAAAATAATGCTTTTATCAGGAAACAAACAGGACTCTGAATTCATATAAAAAGTTATACTATAACTATAAAACCTATATTTTGTTGAACCAGTAGATATGTTAACTCTAGTAAACTGGTTGTATCTCTGTTGGTGAGTTGCTTCTGTTAAGTTCACCTGATCACCAGATAGTCCCCTAAAAATAAAATGCACATCAGGATGAGCGTTCCAGCTGCATTAGCTGACTCTAACATTAAAAAAGATTTAATGGTAGAAAAGTAATTAATTCTAGAGTTTCAGACGAGTTAAAAGCAGATGTTGGATTTGAGGTCTTACCACGAGCAGAAACCAGAATCCTTCCTTCATGATGCTGCTGAAGGACAGACAGGTAGACAGACAGACAGGCAGAGACAGGCAGGTGTTCGTGGACACTGAAGCATCTGAGCTTCAGACTCAGTGATGAGCTGAGCCGGGAGAGAGAGAGAGAGAGAGAGAGAGAGAGAGAGAGAGAGAGAGAGAGAGAGAGAGAGAGAGAGAGACACACACAGAGATAGACAGGTGGTTGTGATGTTGGCTGCCCTCTGGTGGTGAGTTCTGTTACTGCATTATTTATATATATATTAGATATATATTGTTTATAATGCTCTTATTATCTCAAACAATAACACTCAGGTAAGAGCAGCAGGACCAAAATAATAATAGAATAATAAAATATATTAATAATTCTTAAATTTACTGACTTAAAACCAGTTTTTTGTTTACATTCTTACAGTTATATTACAAACATTGTTCTACAGCTCAGAGTGGAAAGTAATCTGAATACTGTCGCCTACTTAACTACAATTCTCTTCTCCTTTATACTTCTGATACATTTCAGAGACTTTACCCTGAACAATAAGTAGCATCCAGTAATAGGATACACTCTGTTTAACAGTAATCCGTTACATTACAGTTACAGTTACTGTCACTGGCTCCATTAGTGGCTCCATTTCCTGCCTAATGAGCTCGAGCTGTTTACAGTCAACATCAATGAAAACACTCACGCGCACTCCAACGGTCCACCTGTGTTTATGTGACAACAGCGCGTGCGTGAGTGTGCGTGAGAAATCTGTTTAAATATAACAACCAACTTCCTCCCTGTCTGTCTGTCAGTTGTCTGTCCCCCCCTCTCTCTGTCTCTCTCTCGCTCTCTCTGTCTCTCTCTCTCTCTCTCTCTCTCTGTCCCCCCCTCTCTGTCTCTCTGTCTCTCTCTGTCTCTCTCTCTGTCTCTCTCCCTGTCTCTCTTCTCTCTCTCTCTCTGTCTCTCTCCCTGTCTCTCTCTCTCTCTCTCTCCCTGTCTCTCTCTCTCTCTCTCTACCCGGGTACGTCGGGTTCCACCGGCGCGCGGACAGCCTTCCCTCCATGGAACCTTCGTGTACCGGTGGAACGTTACCGAGCAGCTGGAACGGGTTTACCGGACACTTTAACGGCGTTCTGACGTTCACCGGCTCCGGTACCGGCTCCGGTACCGGCTCCGTGTCTCCGGCTGATATGTGTTCCCGAACTGTTGCCACAAGTGGATATTAGCCGGTGTTTATCCCGGGTCGGACCCGGTTCTGTGAGTGTCCCGGGTTAAAGGAAGAGAATGCTGACCCGGGTCAGTGTGGTTCTGCTGTCCGCGGTCTGTATGTGGAGCCAGGGCCAGCGCTTGGACCACAACAGGTTTATTTATTTATTTATTTATTTATATTTACTGTTGATTCTATAAGATTCTTCTCACTGATATATATTATTATAGGTTTACTATACATTTATATATTTATATCATATATATATTGTAAAGCTTCAGCCTGTTTATGATTTTAAACTCATTATCATCCATAATTATATTTGTTTGTTGTGTTTCAGAGTAAACAAACAATGTCCTCCTCTCAGCTGTAAACTGCTGGTTGTGGCTCAGAGGCTACAGATTAGAGTAGATTATATATTCTTTATATAATCTCTATAAACTGTATTTCCCTCAGTGAGCAGACTGATGAA